CTTTAAGCAGCCTAGTTGGGATCTAATAGACAGGTTGATGTGATTTATACCCTACAAAGGCAGAGAGCAATTATCAGCTGGGTAAGTGGTAACAAATGGTAAGTAATTCCTTAATATTATGTTGTTTTGTTACTATTTTAAAGATATGATCGAGGTAAAAACACTATCAGCAAACATAATTAGTTCTTTTAGCTTTCCATCAATTTGTTTTTTAATTATACTAATAATAATTACCTTTAAATTAATATAATAAATGAATATACACCTTAATATGTTTAGATAATTCATATATATACATATTAAGCTAACGCTAACCTTTTTAGCGGTGCTACTTTATCTGATTTTTATTCTCCATTACTGGATTTAGACTTCTTCATGTGGGATAATTAATGAAATTAACAAGATGTTAACGCGCAGAAATGTATATATTTATCAGTTTATTTAACAGTTACAGGGCTTCAGTCGAGGCCAGCTTTAACAGGGTATAGCTCTCTTTAGCTAGCGGTTTAATTGTTTCCTGTTGTTAATTGTCAGCTGAGTTTTGTCACATTAATGTGTTTTTTGGGGGGAAATTTACGATTTTGAGCATAACTAAATTTTGACTGAACGTAAAATATATTATTGTACTTTCACAGTTAATTCCCAGTAGCATACAATATTTATTTTACAGTAATATAGATGAAAATCACAGCAATGTATTGTGTTTCTATATGTGTTTCTGGTCACAATATCTCTGTAACAATACATTAATTAAAATGAATTTACAATATGATATTGTAATAATCATCTGTAAATTTACAATATTTACTTGTTATTTAAAATTTTTATTGTATTATTACTTCAACTCAGTGGTCAGTAAATTCCTGTAAGTGTGCAGTATGTGTATAACGTTAAAATACCGTAATTTTACATATTAACGGTTTCTTTACATCAACGCATTGGCCCATATTTCAGTATGTACAGTGTATGATATACTATACATATAAGGACAATATCTTTAAAGTTATATTTAAATACAGTGAATCACCAATAAGCCAGTAGTTTCCAACCTTTGTGCAACACCGTTTCTCCCGGTAACTTCACCAGACTGCTCTTCACCGACTTTCTTCACTGACTGGGTACACAGCTTCCTCAGCGACAGACCACAAACCGTCAGAGTGAGCGCTGTAAGATCCTCTACTTTAATCACCAACAACGGAGCCCCACAGGATTGTGTCCTGAGTCCCTTCCTGTTTACCCTCCACGCCACCATGACTGAACGAGCCCCTCTGCCATCATCCTCGCACTCCTTGATGACAATAAGTTATTCTGAGCTATCTAGACTCCATCTCCCACTTCACACAGTGGTGCACAGACAACTATCTGCAGCTGAACGTCGCAGAAACAAAACAACTGTCAATTACCACCTCCAGCACGAACAGCACAGCCCCCATCTCCACCCACAATCCCTATCTTCAAATACCTTAAACTCACCACAGACATTTACAAAGCTCTTTCATTAACTCAGTAACTGCAGGAAGTTTGTGTAAAATGAGAAATTTAAATTAATTATTTCCTGTTTAGGCAACTTTTTATTATTTTTTTGTTTTTTGTTTTATTATTATTATAAATTATAAATATGTAATAGGCTTCTTTTTTGACAAATTCAGTGTTTTCTTGTCCTTTGCCAAATGCTGAGTTACTCTGTATAAGTTTTCTGACACTCAATAAAATCAAGAAGTCCTTGCGACCCCCCGCTAAGCTTTGGCGACCCCTAGTGGGGGTCCAGACCCTCAGGTTGGGAAATACTGGGACTTAATTACTGAGACAATGTATTGATAACCTCCCAAATATTGATAGTCACATGAAAAGAGTTTGTAAATTGGACAGTAACAATATGGGACACTAAACTGATTTGAGGATTTTTATCTTTTCCAATCGAAACTTTTCTTATAAATTTCTAAAACTCTGATCAGACTTTTTCCTCTTTATAAGAAAAACTGATAAAATATTATAATGTTGTTGTTCATTTATTATGAAACCAGAACAAATTTGAAGTAACTATGAAGTTACACAACAAAAGTAATCTGCATTCAAACAGTATCACTTATCTTAAAACCTATTTTTAAACTAAACTGGATTTACCTGTTTACCTGATGAATCTGCTCCATGTGACTCAACGTTTCTGTGATAGATGGCGATATTTCCCCTCTAACAGACCTTTTGCTCCACTGATTTAGAGTCAGAGAGATGGGGAGAATGGACATAATGTTACTTTAAAAGCCTAAAAGATTCAGTGTGTTTGAGAATCCAATTTAAGAGTTTGTTAGACAGAAAATTAAGGAGCCATTAGGAGAATGTAAACGAGAAGAATTTAAGAGCACAACTCAACTACATATATAACATATAGCTAATAGTGTATAAGCATTTTAATGTATGAATGTTACAGATTATACCTTTAAGTGGGAAATATTTCAGAGTAATTTTTTATATAAAAACTTGGTTTCAGCTTCACAACTCAGACAATTTGCTACTTTTCCTTTTAATTATTTTAATTATTTTAATGTATTTGTAATAATTTCTGCTGGTTGGACAAAACAAACATTGTGAAAGTGTCACTTTGGGTCACTGTGAGTTTAGAAAATACAAATCAATCAATCAATCAATCAATGGATTAACAGAGGAAATAATCATTAGTTGCAGTCTGATACTAAATAGTTAAAAATCAAACAACTACATTAAAACCCCTGTTTTTTACATTAATGAGAATAAATTAATTATATTATTTATAAAAGTAAAACAGTCACATTTTTGAGTGCTTTTACTTTTAATACTTCCTGACTGCACATATATATATTTTTACTAAAGTAACATTTTCATATAAAGTGTTTATTGTTTTTGCATTAAATGCATAAAAGAAATGTATTACATCAACAGTAACATGAGACCTTAAGCCGTCCTCAAACTCTATATCAATATACTCTATACTCAAATATAAAGAGAATTTAACCCAAAATAAATAAATAACTAAATAAGAAAAGAAAAAGAGTTCCTGTAATAGATCCAAATGTATTTAACGAGGTCTGAAGAAAGTCCCCAAATCTTTTGATAAAATTCAATTTGTAGTATCAGGGCGTTTCCAGAAGCGGTATCATATGAAACTAGACGACCTATGGGGGCTAAAAAACACTCCAAAAACTGGCCAGGGGATCCGTTGACCTCTGACCTCAAGGTATCTGAATGAAAATGGGTCGGATGGGTTTCCACGAGTCTCCACTTTTCCTGACAGGCCATCTTTATGCTAATCTCTACAGCTTATTGCCTATGGTATGAATGTGTTAGTTTCACCAAGTGCATTAATCAGTTACTTACTTTTATTTTGTGTTGTTTCTGGCGCCTCCAATGGACAAACGCAGTAGTGCTCCCACCGCCTCACTTCACTGAGGAGGTCTTGTTTGTTTGTTTACATAGTTTCCAACCTTTTTCCTTAAGAAACCCTTTTTCTACACATATCTTATGGACATTTCATATTATATTATATTCAAAACTGTACAAATAATCCAAGAAGTTTGTGTAAAACGAGAGATTTGGATGAATTTTGAGCAGATTATTTCCCGTTTAGGGAACGTTTTATACAATTCTGTCTGGATTATGTATTTTTTAAAGAATTTTTAACAATCATACAGATTTAATAGGCTTAATTCTTTGACAAATTCTGTGTTTTCTTCTCCGTGACACTTGGCTGTTGTTCTATTAGACAATTTACTCACTCTCTTGTACGGATCCTACTGACTTTCTGGTAAATTAAATACATAAAATACAATAAATTGAGACATTGTTCAGTTAAAAACTCCTTTTACATTAAAGTAAATGACCCGAATGCTTCCTCCTCCTCTGACAGCACAGTAAATAAAAACAAACTTCTCAGAAGTGTTGACTTTTTATACATGTTCTGTATAATATTCAACATCTTATGTCTTTCCCATAATCTGAAACATTACACACAAACACACACAACAACAACAGATGTTTTCAGACAAGAAAATCCACATTCATTCATTCATTCATTCATTCTTTCATACGATACAGAATAAAATATTTGATTACTGATTTGATTAAAGTGGAAGTCTTTCTGCTTTAGTGTTTAACACTTTTAGAACAGTTTTAAACAAATATCTGCTGATATAAAAACAGAGGTGGATGTTAGATGATCTTATTCTGTCCTCATCTGACTAATGAAAATAAACTTTAAATTTATTAAGCACCTTCTGCAACACTCATCTAAAGTGCTTTAGACATTAAAATAAAGGATAAATTCACTTATATGATGCAAAGTCTGAGCCAATTATTAACAGTAATTACAGTTTGTCACCATGCTGATAAAATACTCCTCAGTTCCTCCCGTTTTCACCGACTTACTAATGCATGAGTCAGTATGTGTTTCTGGTTTCAGTTCTTAACAACAACAAACAAATATAATAATACAATTTAATTTAAATGTATTAAACAATGAAGGGTCACGTTTCGGTCTGAAACATTATTTTTGGTGTAACTGGGGGGGCTTTTAATTTGAAGATGCTACAACATTTACACAATCATTCAGTTAATAAAAACCTGAATTTCACCTGTAATTTCCCTGAGCATTAATGTGTACAGCCAGGGTTGAACCTGTGACTCTGTGAAAGCAGCGAGGACACAAGCTGAAACGTGTCAGTCTGACAACAAAGCAAAAACCCTTTGTACTAACAGGAGACTTCCGGCTGCAGGCGAAGTGTTCACTCCTGTTCCTTAAGTTAGTAAGCGTCACAATGTTTAAATACTCAACAGAGATGAGGCGCCACGATCTCTCTCCCTGATAACATCCTGCATGTCAAACGCTCTCCAGTCTCGCTGTGACAATGCTGTGACATGTCGTTACAGCTCTTACGAGGAAGAGCGAGGCCCCGTGCCAAAAAAAAACCCTGCAAGGACTCATGATTGGCACAGCTTATTGTAGTTCAAGTTACAATATTTGTGCCTGTAACAAGTGACTAACACACTTTAAAGGTTTTATTTCTCTTAAGCAAACTGCTTCACCCTCCAAGGTCAAATATTAACTCTTTTAAACTTTAACATTTTTGCTTAACAACCGCTTTTGTATCTTATTAAAACATTACGACTATATTGAAACTTTTCTTTGTGTGTGTGTTTTCCTTCATATGTTAACTTTGATCAAGCCTGCAGCTGACGGCCATTTATGGGCGTCCAGGAAGTCTATCGCTTTCCATTTGATCTACAGAGCAACAAGGTGAGCTCGGTGTAACAGAAGAGCCCAGACCTGTTTAACACTGTCTGTCACATGATTTATCATACAGAGAAATAATTTACATGTAAACCACAGAAAGACCTGCTCTTATCTCTTTACAGATCAGCAGTACGGGCCAGGTCTTTTAAAGTCTTTCCAGTTCCCCAAGGGGCCGATGCAGTGTTTTCGAGTCGGTGGTTTGGTTGTGTTGTGTCTGTGGGTCTTGTTGGGCGGTGCTCGGGCGTGTCATTAGCCTGGTGAGTCCCGCAGCGCTGTACGCACCAGCGAGGAAAGTACGTTAAAGGGTGAGCTCCTAGCTCGGGTGTCGGTCGGAGCGGATGCCACGTTACCGCATACACAACTCCCCCAGAGATTACACGTCTTCAGAATGTGTGTAAAAGGAGCCTGGCGCCGCGCTCGTGGCGGTTAACGTGCTGCTGGTTATGCCTCCAGCAGCTCTTTAGGAAGGGGGTCGGGTTAAGACAGGAGGAGCGGTAGACCGTCAGAGGCTGAGCAACGGGCGTCCGGGGGGCGGCTGACTGCGTTGACGTGAGAGTAAATCTCCACAGTACGGTACCACCGTGGTAGACTGGGTGCTATCCGCAGCACTACGGTCCTGCTCGCTCGGCGGTTGAGGGCGGGTCCTTAGTTTGTCTTTTGGAGCGCCGGCCGGTGTTACCAGCATGGCCGACGAGCATTGGCACATGTCAGAAACGATGTTCTGAGTCGATCCTCATTGGCGGTAATGGAGCCGGCCGGAGCAAGTGCGAGTCCAGCCACCCAGGCATCGTACCGGCGACTGGTCTGAGATCTTTGTCAGATGGGCTTGTAGCAGTCCTAGAAGTCTGCTCTGGATGCAGGTCCTTGAGCCTCTTAGCTCTCTGCAGCAAGCTGTGACCGGCTGTGTAGTCCTTGCTGCCTCTCCGGTGTACAGCCCCAGCAGGAAGAACAGCTTCACCACTTTGCCCTGTACAGAGCTCTCGCCTCCCCAGGTGCTGCGGATGATGTCACGATGCACCTTGTTGTGGGGCGCCACGGGGACCATCAGAACCAGGAACGGCTTCTGCTCCTCACATTTCTTTGGTTCATTTATAATGAAGCGGTACTCGTAGGGGTATTCCACCAAGTACAGCCCCGGAGACACATAAGGAACCGGCGTTGGTGGCTCAGTTTTCTGCTGATGCACCTTTGTAGTCTGTTGCAACGGAGCAGCGCTCGAGTCTGTCGCATTGGTTCCCTTGGCGTTCTCAGGACGAGGGAGCGCAGACGAGTTGGTCACAGCAGTCTCTGGTTCAGGTTCAGGTCCAGTAGGTTCGGAGCTCTGATGGACTACATTTTGTTGGTGGCTTTTAAAAGGAATGTATTGCCTCCACCATTTATGGTTCCAGTTGGGCGACATTTCCTTTATGTTTGTGTTGTATAAGAACAGAACTGCACCCAACACCAGGATGAAGAAGAGGCAGTGGCGCCGAGACCAACCACACCACCGCCTGCTCTCCACCGGTTTCCCAACATCCACCATCACCTGGCTGAGAGGGAAATAAATTTGTCATCAGTGTGCTTGTTTGTCATGTTAAAATAAATACAAACACTCTCACTAAAGAATTGTTTAACATGTCATTTAAATGTTTGATGCTCTCATGTTTGAGCCAAAGTTAACAAACTAAACTTAAAATTTAACTCAAATACAAATGAAAACTACACTATATTGTGCTTACACAACTAGCTCAAATATAATAAAAATATACAGGAAAACAAAACAAGCACAAGCTCAATGTGTTTATTGAGACTGTGTTTGTATGGTAATACCTATTCTGACAAATACCGTCCATATTATAATGAAAAATTAAAGCATTTTTAAACAATGTGAAACTATGAATTGGAACTTAATTGAAAAACAAAACTTAAAACTAATAAAAAAAAGCAGAACTATATATAAAACTCTGCTTCCTGCTTCATAAATTTAATATTTTCAACAACTGTGATGCTTTTCTTAACCACAAACAGCGTCCTCTTCCTCGTCCTCCCCGTCGGACACAAAATGCTTTACGACTGCATAAACTAAAACTAAAAACTCTCACATACCTGTGTCCTCCCTTCTCAAAGCCACCCTCCAGCATGTTGACGTCCTCCCGTCCGCACACGCAGGCTGTCGTCCTTTCAGATATGTAGCAGAGAAAAAGTTACAGGATGTTTCTCCACTCAAAAATTCATGGCAGCATTTGGCTTTCAGTTGCAGGTAAGTGTGACTCTTCACCTGCCTGCTACCACAAACTGGAGCGACGAAGATCATTGAGGAGTGTTCTCCCAGTCTGGTTCCTGCTTCATGTAACCATAGCACTCTATAGTCCTTTACCTGAGGAGCAGCCACACCTTTATTTGCTCCACCCCCCCCTTTGGTTTGTGTGTGTGTGTGTTGTTTGGAAATCCTCTTGAGGCCCTGGGAACAGGTCTTCTTTAGCCTGTGCTGTTGCTCCTTTATTACATGAACCACACCTGTTTCTGTGTGTGTTGAAAGAGAGACAACTGCTCTTTGGTTGGACTGACAAGCTTCTGCACGCTCATACATTTAAGAATAAACCCTTTACAGACTTAGAGATTAAAGAATAACCTGTAATATGTCCTTAATGTGTATTATAGGTATTGGTTACACAGAGTGGCCGGTTGTCAGTGTGTCAGCTGGTGTATTATTAGTTTTATCAATGTTTAAACGGTGTGATGTCAGCTGTAACTGGTTCTAGTGAAAGAGAAAGAATGGAAAATGTCAGGAAGTGAGCACCATGAGAGATGTTGTAGATAAGAAAAGTATTTTGTTGTTTATGAAAAGAAGACAACTTTAAAAAGAACAATAATCAATACATAAATCCTAATAAACGACATTAAATCTTACATGCTTGAGCCGGAATAAGAGGAAGTACACACTTTCCCCTTTACCTGCACACACGCAATCCTATATTAATTATAATTAATTAATTATTCATTATCTAACTGCTTTATACAAGTTCTCCACTGTATTTCACACAGGTTTATTAAGTATTATGACCTTACAAACCTTCACACTCGATGTATTGATTACACTGTGTGTCGCTGAGGGTTGATTTGAAACTCTTTTACTCAGACTTATTTTTATTATCTTGCTTTTAATTAGTTTTATTTAACATTACTGTGATTATTTCATACTTTTTTGATATATATGTGTATATGCCAGTTTTATTGTTTTATCCTATTATTGTTTATTGTTTATTATTAACTATTATCTGTGTTTTACTCATTATATGTACATTCATATAGATCATTTTATGTGTTTTTGTGTTTTTATTTTTTAGAGCAGCATTTTATGTTGGAAAAGTGCTGTAAAATTGTATTATTATTACTATTTGATATATTTCACATACAGTACTTCTGCTTTGTAGTGTTGTTATATCTGTCTTTATACAAGTTTTAGTTTTTATATCTGTATTTTACTTACTTACTTCGTGTTTTTGATTCAAATTTCTCCTGTAAAGCACTTTATCTATGAAAGGTGCTGCATAAATAAACTTTATTATCATTATTACCTGATATATGTCACACACAGTATTTCTGCTTTATAGTGTTGTTCTGTAATGTGTTTATTATATTTGCTCCTTTATACTGTTCCTTTATTGATGTTATTTAGACAGTCCGAGAAAAAGAGAAGGCAACGTGCAATATTTTTGAATAAAATTTGTTTTTGTCTGGAGCTATTTTCCCTGCTGCAAGTTTATTTTAAATTAAAGGAAAATACTTCACTTTCTCGCCAAGAGTTATGTTAGAGGAATCCCTCTAATGTCTGAATGTTAAAGGATCAGTTCACCCCAAAATATAAAAATACATATCCAGGATCCATTCATTTATTATTATACAACAAAATGAAAGTTTAAAGTCTTTTCAGGCTCAACACAAAGAGAAAGATGATTAATTATATAGTAGAATAACATATAATAAACCAATATATACAGTTATTTATATTTATGTACACACTTGGGAACACTCTGGTTGAATGTAAACCAAACGCGGTCCACCTGTCGAGGGTTTGATCTGGGATGTTGATGGACCTGGTCTCTGTAAAGATGTGAACAGTCTCTGATTTCCTGTTTGTTTGGCGTCCAAACCAGCACTGTAAAAACAAGTTTGTACATTTAAGGGTTTTTCTCGTTTATTTTTTCCTTGTATTTTTTTAAGCACAAGGAAATATTAATAAAATGACACAAATAACCTCTGAACATACATGTCTACTGTAAAATAACCTGACAAATCTGTAATTAAATAAGCATAAATTACTGTTTATTTAAAGAAAATGTCCTTTTTTCCACATAAAAAGAGTTAAAATTACAAAAACTATATATTTTTCTGTTTTCAGGCGCCCGGTTAGCTCAGTCAGTAGAGCTGGCGACCCATATACGGAGTTGCTGCAGCGGCTTGGGTTCGAATCCGACTTGCGGCCCTTTGCTGCGTGTCATCCCCTCTCTCTCTACCCACCTTTCCTGTCTATCTTCGGCTGTCCCTATCTAATAAAGGCACGAAAAGGCCAAACAAAAAATAATTTAATTTTACATGAGTTTGTTTGTTTATTGACAGATATCATTAATGGCGTGTAACGTTAGCTAGCTCATCATCTATCTATCACTGAGAAAGTTAACGTTCGGCTACGGTTGGCGGTTGTAGTTCGGTAGAAAGAAAATAGTCCCTACGTGAAACTGATATCTATAAGGCTGATATCTCCAAAACTCCCCAAACTGACACCAAAACTTAGATATTACTGATTGAACAAAGAGTGATTATCATTGTGCATTAGGAGGTTGGATTAATTAAGTTCATAAAAATGTGTTAAAAAGAGGTTTACGTCACTGCAGGAGAGAGAGAGAGAGAGGCTTTGTTGTTAAACCAATAATAGAGTCAAAGATCAATCATTTATCAAAGGTGGCAAACAGGATTCAGAGCCACGGGTTTCTGTGTGGTTATACTTTATCATTCCTATAACCATTAATTAAACAGCTTGTTTAAATACACTGGAGGGAGAATCTTTCATTCCAGCCAATTGTTTCTGAGCCACAAACAGGGAACCAGGAAATAATGCAACACTAACCCTTTAAACTCCAAAAAATGTATCACAGTGGAGTATTTTCCATTGTTTTTAACTGTTAAAATATATTTTGTGTAAATCAAAGCTCCCACAATGACAAATAATAGTATGTGAGAGAGATATAGCTACAGATTTCACAGGCTTTTGGGGGAAATTATTGTGATGACTGTGGTTTAGGCAAAGATTCCAAATCATTCTCCAGATACTCTTTACATGACTCAGACACTGAACCTGTATGGTTGTTTTATCAGTGTGGGTGTGAAAGAAATCTGTCCTCCAAGTGTGTTAAATAGTCTGATATGTGCCTAAAGCGTTTATATTTGGTAACTTAAGTATAATAAATCCTTAAAAAGTAATCTTCTACTTCCTTAAAAATTCAAGATGTCTCCTAATTTACTGTAAAGTTAAGAGAAACTGATTGCTGGGAAACTTTTAATGTAGAAGCGGTTAAACCGGTTTCATTAAGTCTGAGTTCAGTCAGTTGTTGACTGTGATGACTGATTATGATAACTTTAAAAAGTAAATTATTATTAATAACTCAGTTATTCTTCTAATTTTCCTTTAATTCAGTCATTTATGTTCAGTTTGTAGACAGATTTTTACATGTTTGACGTCAGTTCAGGCTGACTATGAAGTCAGCTGTGTTATGGTTTGGCTTAGTTTTGTCTATGTTGTGCTTTTCTTTTGTTCTGTTCCCCTTCGCCTTTTTTGTTCCTTTGCAGAGCTGGTTGGTGGCAGGGGGTGTGGCTGCTCCTCCTTGTTGGCAGCAGAGTGCACACCTGAATTTCATGCTCAGCCTATCCCAACACCTTCATTAACCTGGTCTTCACTCCTGCCAGTTGCCAGAATATTCAGTTTCCCACTCACCAGTGTGTGCGTCTCTGCTTTGGGGCTAGACTAAGAACTTAACAAGCTGAGCTTTAAACTGATTACATTCCTGATCAATAACCTTTTTATTTGGTATTTTATTTTCTCAGTACAAATAAAAATCACAAACTTTAAGTCAGTGTCACTTAAAACTACTGAAGATACTTAATCAGAGAAATTAAGTTTGTTTTACTTAAAATGAGTTATCTAACTTTGAGTTAAATAGTTAAATAAACTCTCTTACAGTGCGGTTTATAGTGAAGAATGTGTGTACTTTACCCACCTCTGTTCAGCTGTCATCACATGAGATAAAGTATGTAATGTCTGTCTCACCTGTTCTCAGGTGACAGCAGCGGTGCCAAGCCCATCCTCTGATGAACAGGGTGGCACAAAGCTCTGAGGTTTAAGGACAAAAACACAAATAAACTGAAGACGAGAACACCTCTCTTATCTTTGGATGAGGCCGGTAGAGCGACTCGGTTGTTGACGCCAACACCGAGGAAGTGTCGGTGGTGTTTCTTTCAGGTGTCAGTCAGACATGAAATCTGATCTGGGAACATTTGTTTCCATTGCAGTGTTGATTTCTGAGAAATCAGATTACAATTCAGGAAAACAGCATCAAAAGGGTTCTTTTGTTACAATGAGGAAGATAAACACTAGTTCGCCAAAATTGTGCACTTGGATGCTTTTGATTGGTCACCGAATCGCCAGCTGATGTCATCAATCGAAATCAATGTGGAGGCTTCATTTGTGACACAAAGCTAATGTCAGTCTGCCCTAAAAATAACATCATCTCTGACTCTTAATGGGGGAGAAACCCCACTTGTCAAACCAGTTGATCTTCATAAATCCTCCTTTTTAGCTCCTTTTAGCTCCTTTTAAGCTCTTTTAGCTCTTTTTACTCTTATCTAGCTTCCTTTTAGCTCTTTTTAGCTCCTTTTGCTTCCTTTTAGCTCTTTTTAACTCCTTTTAGCTTCCTTTAGCTCTTTTTTTTAGCTCCTTTTAGCTCTTTTTAGCTCCTTTTAGCTCCTTTTAGCTCCTTTTTAGCTTTTTTAGCTCCTTTTTAGCTGATTTGTAGCTCTTTTTTTAGCTCCTTTTAACTCCTTTTAGCTCCTTTTTAGCTCCTTTTAGCTCTTTTTTAGCTCCTTTTTAACTCATTTTAGCTCTTTTTAGCTCCTTTTTAGCTCCTTTTTCCAACATCAGTTGAGGAAACCTTGGCCAGAACCTTCCCTTTATTTATAGCCTATATGCTATATGCTAGGCTCATCTATGGTGAAACAATTTTTGTATTTAATTTAGCTAATTTATCAAAACGCTAGCTAACTACTCTATATCAACCCTTATGCTAGTTAGCTGATTAGTTAACTACTTAACTAGTTAACCAATCTACATTAAAAGTTAGCTTGTTAGTTATATCTGATAGCTAAAAGACCAGAAAGGTGCTATATAAGTAGAAGTACAGTCCATTTACTATTTACCATTCAATGTTAGCAAAACAGAAGCTAATTAACTGCCTAATGATTTATGTAGCTAGCTATCAAACATTTAGCTAATATAAGATAACATAAGATGTGACTATATACTGTATATGTCGCTTTTATGTTTTAACATCCTTTCAATATCTACAATCTGCACTCGTTCTGCCCGTTAGAAAGCAGTTGAGATATTAACGAGCTGAATCCAACCCCACCCCCATCCTCAGCACATCAGGTACAAAGTCAAACTCCTTGTGCACACAGGTGTAAAAACCTGTGACCTTTGAAGGGAGGCGGTTAATGTGTTAACTTTACCCACAGGTGCACACACTCTCATGTTCACGGCTTGTTGGCTTATCTGGAGTAACTGACTAACCTGGTTGCAAAGAGACACAGATAAGACAGTTTAATATTTATTATACTTTAAGGAAATACAGTCTTCTTTTTTTTAAAAAGGAGATTTTCTGCAGGTTGAGGTTTTTTGTGCGAATGTTTGCAAATAATTTACATGTCAGTAAAAGCAAAACGTTTTATTCAAATCCCATAATAAAACCTGTATGCACGCAGAGTAGAGGACTTCAGGTATAGTGGCTGCTCCTCCACTTTACTCTGCTTTGGTTGTTTCCTGATTTTAAACACTCCTACCTACCAACCAATGTAGGACATTTACATAGTTGCTAGAAATAAAGCTGCTATAAGAGTCTGAAAGAGACGCCTGCAAACACTTAAAGTTTCCCTTAAGAAACTGAAATAAATGGAGAATAAAAAGGTAAATAACAAGAGACAGAGCTCAGTAAAGGAGGACATAAAGCGTGGTATTTACAGAAGTACAACAATCTTTGGTAAAGTGTGAGCACAGAAAGCCAGAAACCATAAAACCTCCCTTTTTCTGGCCTAATTAGATTAGATACACGTCTATCACTGACACAGCGGTGCAGTACACCATAACAGATCTTTTTCACAGCAGCCGTTTTGACATGAAACAGTCGGGTAAACACAGGCCAATGATACTCTTTAAGGTTGTGTATAATTTAGTGTGGCAGAGAATCTTTGCAGTGAGCCAACGTGCACGATAGCAACACCTTCACTCTGTTTGACCTTAACTGAGCCTGAATCATTGGTAACGCCTGTGTTTACCCGACTGGCTCATGTCAAAACAGCTGCTGTGAAAAAGGTCTGTATCAGCTGGCACATTAATTTAGATCAGTGGGTCCCAAACCTTTTTCCTTAAGTGAGTAAACTGACTCGGGGACATATTTTATGGATATTTCGTTTTTAATAATAATCATACATATTATTCCAGATACAAAACAGAAATTACAATCAGAAACCCACATTTCCTGTGAACATTGATCATAATTATCTGTATTTTTCTCATTTTTAACAATCAAACATACTTAACAGGAGTCTAAAATTTAAAAATAACATTCATTTCATTCAGTTTTCTTCACATAAATGGATGAAATGCTAAAATATACGCCTACTAATGTAATGTTTACTTATAGCCCTTAAAATATTAGTTTAATAAAATGTGTTAAAAATAGAAATTAATATAATAATCTGTTACGGCCACATTTTAAACCCAGTGATATATTTAAAGAAAAACATTTATATAATGTATTTAGAAGAAATTGAAGATTTGGACGCAAAACAATATAAATATATTGATTTCTATGTTAACCTTTAGATATTTCACAGTTTCCTTTCATAAGAAACTGAACAGTGTCACTACAGGAGATAATTTGTGTAATCCGACGTAAACCTCAGCAGGTTTCTCAGCTTGTGTTTATTTAACTGTGTCGGACAGTGATGGTCTTAAGCTGCTGTCACTCTGTAACAATAAAGAACAAAAGACGTCGGTGATACGGGACCGTCTCCTCGTTAGACCGGTTTCTGAACCCTAACAGGGTTTCTAGCAGGAGGCAGTTGAGCTCAGGTGTTAACACCTGACGTGTCTTTGATCTCTTAATCTATTAGCCAATATAGATAACCTGGTTGCATGTTAGGTATTTACTGTGTGCCTTTCACCCTGATAGTGAAAGAATAGTTTCACTGTCTACTTGTTGACTTTTGTGGTGGCATAGTCTCCAACAGTATTTGCACACACTATCTGCCCTCACATGGTATTTAAAGGGTCGTTATTTGTGCTAATAACAAACAATTCGGCCACAAGTTCACCAACGTTTCTTGCATCTGAAGTTGATTTCTCTTTTTAAATTAAGAGAAAATATAAGAGATATTTAGGAGAATGAGGGACAGTGGGACACCAGGTCAGTGAAACAGTCCCTCCACTGACCCTCGACCCCCCCGTCGCTCCAGTAGAGCTGCTCAGCGGCCGATGGATCGCAGTGCTGTTGACTCTGTGAGCCTCCAGGTGTTTGCAATTGTGTGAAAGATGATCTGGGCGAGTGAAACTTACCCTGAGTAGATAAAAGGGTGGGATTTCAGTGTTTCACCTGATGTTGCACTGCCCCCCCCCCAACACCTCTGACACTCATTATCTAGAGATATAGTAACTCTAGATGGTTTTACTCTGACCTCCTGGTGTGGCCCTTTAACTCACACATTAACCTTTTTCTCACCTATTTTATAACAAAAATCAGACTCATCCTGACGTAAAAATTACCTTTTATGCACTTTCATCTCGCAGGTTCTCGTGGATCGTATTAGTTTTACCAGTTCAAATAACAGGGACAAACAATATTTCCCACCCTACCCCCCACTTCCCCAGAACCTCCCCAACAGCACAAAAACAGGACACAACACTGACAATGACATCGTACAAGCCAGACAAAGGAACAACACAGCAATAAATAACGAATTGTATAATGAATGAATAATAATGAATTGTACACTCCAGTGCTCTCGTTGTCATTCTCGTCTCAGAGGTGATGCTTTCCTGTGTCACTATGTTAGGGAACCTCGGTATTTCTGAGGAATTAAATAAAGAGTGTCCAGGTTTCCTCAAACACATTTAGTCTATTTATAAATATGTAAGTTATTTTTCTCTAATACAGTATAAGCTGATGCCATTTCATTAAACCTTTCTTTGATTCCTGGCCTTATTTATAAGTCTCCAAAAGATCTTGTTTTCCAATAATCTGAGAGATACACTGTGAAACCTGTTGAGTTAGTCGAACTCAAACTGTTTGAGGAAAGCGTTTATTAACTCAAACAATTTAAGCATGAAAAAATATTTGATTTGAGTAAAAGTAACAGTTAGTTGAGTAAAATTGGGTAAATTCAGTTTATTTTACCACTTCCATTCAGTTGATTTAAGTAAAAAACATGTACATACTATATATAAAAATATATTGAAATAAAAATGAATAAATAATGAAATAAAAAAGCAAAGACATGTTCAGGGCCACATCAGATGAATTTATTTATAAAGAATCAGGTCTAAGACAAACTAACTTTTTTATCATCAAAACAATACATATGGAATATATATTTTCATTGTATTTTCATGGCTTTTATATATTTATTTACATTTTGTAATTTGGTATTCATTATTATTATATTTAATTATATTTTGTGTATCAAGTGCTACAGTAGGGAATCTACGGAAGCCGAGAACAGCCATGGATTTCTCTTTTTTTTTATGCATTGCGTTATATTGTGATAACGACTTATTATCTTGTTATCTTGATATAACAAAGATCGTTATCTCGTGATAACGAATTAATTAATAATGTGTTTGTCTTGCTGCCACGAACGGCTTCTGTAGCCTACCGGTAAATTACACTATGGCCGGCCTCGGCTTCCGTACTACAGAGCACTTTGTAAATTCTGTTTTTAAAAGGTTGTATATAAATAAAGTTATTATTATTATTAATAAGAAATTCAATTAGCCTTTTTTTTTAAAGTTACTCTAATTTAAATAAACTGGGAGGAAAATAACTGTATATTTATGGATATAAATCTAGATTAATATTTTTAGACACTTATACTTTATTTATCTATTTCCCCCCAAAACTTTATTTAAAACAATCCGTTCTTACACTTTCCAGCAGGAATCTAGAATTACATTTTATTAAAGAAAACAAATAAAATAGTCACGGCAACGGTGACAATAACAATTTATAATATCAGTAACAGTAAATAACACTAAACATATTCATTGATAAATTAAATTATTCTTTTTAAAAAAAAACAAACAAATACAAAACAATATATATAAAAACGTAAAAATAAACAATAAATAAAAATATATATATTTTTAGACCCTTCCGCTTTATCCATTTCCGGCCCCCAGCTCGTTGTACGTAATGACGCAACGACGAAACGTCCGGCGCGGCGTTCCCGGCGTAACGCGTCATATCTTCCAACACATCCTCCGCTTCCTGGCCCGCTGCACCCTGAACCGGTACCCGGTACCCGCTGCACCCTGAACC